ATTGTTACACATTGCTTATGCACTGGATGAGGTTGTTATGGTTAGGTTATCCATAAAGTCCCTTATTGGAGGTTGGTAGGTGCCTGGCTCCATTATAGGCCCTCTGGATTCCTTTTACAGGTTTCACCAAATGCTCCTGCCATTAAATCTATATGGCAAACTTGGTAGCAAACTGTTTTGTATTCAGCAGATATGAAGCAACATTTATTTAGAGTTGTGTTTCTGGCCACTTGATGGATGTAAGCCCAACATTCACTCTTCCTTCAGCTGTTTTGGTCTCCAGTAACAGGAAATATCCGGCTCTTAAGCTGCCAAATGCTCTACTGTGTTTACAAGCTAGTCATTAATTTTGTTGATCTGGTTCTAGACAGGTAGTGTAGAGGGTTTGACAGATCTTTTTCACTGAAAACAACTGTCTGGTGCTGCTGAAAACAAGATTGATTAGAGCAGTGAGAGTGAGCCAAAACAGTGAAATAGCAGGCCATGAAACCAAAACAGTTAGTTTAATAACACTCCAAAAGGGGGCACTACAGAGTTTAGCCATTGAATTAAAAACTCAAGTGTGGAAAACATTTCATGAAACACGACTGATATGCTTTTAAATATTATGTTTGTGTCTTAATGTTTTTTGGTTTTATACACCCTGGACTCTGTGGAAAGTTGTATGGATATTGTGTGAAGTATCCTGTAGAAACAAAGTGACTTGAATTCAACATATGGAAAATGCACGTGCCACATGTTGCAAAAAGGGCATGTTATTGTTCCTCAATCAATTTAAACCTTGATTTCAGTGCCATGTGTTCCCTAAATATTGACAGAGTACCATAGAGCATTGCCCCTCTCTCTGTGTAATGTAAAGACAGGCAGATCAATATTTGAGGAGTGTGTGCTGCTTTTACAGCTGCAGTGACTGCTTGTCACCAATCATGTGAAAGGTTACATGTACATGTGTGCCATGGAGAAAGGACAGAGGTTCAACAAGTTTTTAAGTTGCAACACATGTAGACTTGAACTACAGTTAATCTAATCTTTTCACATCAGGACAGTATGAAACCCTCCTGGGTCAAGAACACAGTAAGGTGCAATGTGGTCAAGTAACCAGAAAGTAGTCTGTGAAGTAAGAACTGTTTCTGAAATAATGTAATGTAATGGTAATTCATAACGTACAGCTAGACGTACTAATCCAAGTAAAAGTTAAATGAACTCAGACGGAAAGATAACCTCTTTGCTTGCATTGCCTCGTGCTGATCTAAATGTTTTTCTTATTTCTCTGAAGTGTTTTCACATTAATAAAATCTTAGCAGGAAAATGTTGGATTGCCCCTTCTGGATTGGGAGGAATTGGAAGTATTTCGGGGTCTTGTTCACGGCTTAGGATGACGTAGGATGTGAGATGGATAACCAGTTTGGTACAGCGTCTGCAGTGATGCAGACGCTGCGAGAGACTGTCATGGTGAAGAAGGAGTTGAGCCAGAAGGCAAAGCTTTCCAATCACTGGTCTGTCTACATCCCGACCCACACCTACATTATGGTCATGACCTTTGGGTGGTAACCGAAAGAATGTCATTGCAGATACAAGCGGCCGAAATGAGTTTTCCTCTGGAGGATGGCTGGCTGCAGCCTTAGCGATAGGGTGAGCTAAGTAGGAGGCCCCGGGGCAGACCCAGAACACCCTATATCTCATCTGGCCTGGGAACGCCTCAAGATCCCCCAGGGGGAACTAGAAAGCATGGAGGAGGACGTCTCGAGTGCTTTTCTTAGCCTGCTGCCCCTGTGACCTGGCCTTGGATAGGTGGATGAAAATAGATGTGTGGATGGATGGATGGATGGATGGATGGATAAAATCTTAGGTTAAATGTTAATTTCCCGTAAAAGGGGTAGATTTTGTGGTATTTAAAAAAACATTTTTTGAAGATACTGGCACAGAATCAATAAGTAGGTGGCATTTCTGTCACCAGTAGAAAATATTGGCATTATACATTTCTTCAAACCACGAATATGTTACATTTGTACCTTTCATCGTTATCACATAAACATTTCTAAAGCGATGTAGTATAAATGCTGACTTTGTTATCTGGAGGGGGGAGGGAGGGTGGATGGTGTGACACCTAGACGAGATGCCTGCCAAGCTGCAGAGCACCGCTGGAGAACAACAAACAACAAAACTGGTTGTGAAGTCATTGCTGTGTTTACAGTGGCTTTTTAGGCATCAGTAGTGGTTATTCTTTACCAAGGTTTGCTGCTTTTCCTGCCATAATGGTGCAACCCAAGTGGGATATTTTAAGCCCAATCATGATCTTGTCCTAACCATAGCCAAGTGTTTTTTGTGCCTAAACCTAACCACATGTTGACCACAGTGTTGTTAGAAGATTAGGTTACAGTATATCCATGACATAGTAATGTGCAAATGTAAAAAATCAATGGTTTGCAGAAACGTACAATGCCATTTTCTCTGGCGATTGGGTTTTGGGTAGAGGTATTTCATCATAACTGCAAAGGGTCAGAAAGGTGACCTGTTCTCAGTTTGTTTGATGTTTATTTCATGGTGAACAAACAATATCAAACTCTAATACGTTGTGTAACAAATCCAATATATTCAGCTCAAGAGCAAAAGAAAAAAAAACACTTTGGATATAGTGTGAGACCTGTGTTAGTGTGAAGGTGGTTGTGTACATGTTTATGTGGTTGTGTTTGCATCAATATATCTGTGTGAATAAAAGCGATACTGGTATTTGTTGCAACAAGGTACTGTGATGTCACAACCAACCGCAGGGAGAAATGACACAACATGGCACCACAACATCCAAATACAGAATACTCTTTAGCAATTGGCTGGAAGGTGACTGTGCCTGTAAACACCCCTACAATAAAGTAACAGGCCTGTATGGTCCCATAAAGCCCACCTATCAGCTGAGCTCAAGCTGCAGGACAGGACAAACCTTACCAGACTGTACTACAGTGCCAACGGAGCGGAGGGCTGTCAGTGACCTCTAGTGGATCGTTACTTTTATGCAGACCAACCTCAGAAATGGTCCCTCTCCATTCAGTTCTCCTCCATGAATACATTCCTCACATTTAATCCCAGCAGCAGCCACTACGTATTTTTGTAGTGTCCTTGGGTAGGATTTAATACATTAAATTATAATAAATTTAAACTCTTGTTCTGGATCAGAGCATCAACTTATGTCCAAATGTATGACATAAAATGTAACTGCATATTCAGCTAATTTGTAACACAAGATGATATTTGATTAAACATGTGTAGTTTAATTTAATTGGTCCACTACCTGTCATATCACTGCACTTTGCTAATGAGTTTTTAATTTTGTAAAAGACTAAATACCCTGTCTAAAAAATGATTAAGATTATCAAACAAACAAACAAACAAAAAAACCCATCAAGGTCAGCTTATTGCCTTACAGCACCATCTCATAGTCTCCATTAGCCAATGTAGTTTGTTAGTTGCCATGGAGATGGTTTGTGTCAATATATATTGTCTTCAAATGAAACCATTATCCTCGCTACATGAATTTAACACACATTTTATGTCCGTGAGTGCAATAATGGTCAGTGATTAACACTTAGATCATCAAGGTCCAACTATCCAGTTTTAACGGCAACTCATGGGCTTAAGAAAAAATATGAAGTGCATGGACCTTGAGTCAAGTTTTTTAAAGTGTTTTTTTGTTTCCAATCAAAATTAAGGCTCTGTTGTAGCTATTAAATCTTGTTCAGGTTTTGCTTGTGATACCCCAACAACAACAACAACAACAACAACCTGTTTATGAGTTCATACTTTAGCTTATATTGGCCATAGCATGGTGTTTTATACCAGTATGATCTTTAGCCACATTTAATTTTTGATATGTTAAATTTTCCCTCCAGAACCATGTTTTCCATCAGCATTACTCCAGCCACCAAAGGTCCGTGACTGTATTAAGTTACAACCTGGCACTAGCAACAAAAGCAACCTCAGACTACTTTATCACTGCCTCAAACCCCCCCACCTGCTCTGTATTGTACTCACTCTTAGGTAGAGATAAAACACTCCATGTGCTTATAGAAACAGGTGTCAGGCTTCAGGAAGACACACACACACACACACATGCATACACACACAGTTAATTATTCATCCACTTGCTGAAATGCTGACATACACACCGCTCTGCCTGCAGTGTCACTTTAGCCTACACAAGAGACGTTACTGTCATAGGCACTGACAGATGAGTGTACATCTTCACAGAGGCTGAGAGAAAAGTCCTACTGAGGAGGATGAAATTAGGTTATAACTTTATTATTATGCAACACATACATTATGTAATGCAGCTACTTTCCAGTGCAGCCTGTACCACAGCATCAGGGGGACTAGAAATTAGTTTTTGATTTATCAGAGCACTTGATGATGCTCTTATTTGTAGGCTGTAATTAAAAAACAAGGGGCTGTGATATCATGTGCTGGAGTAGTTTTCCTCTAAGGGGTTACTTCTTAACTATTATTATTCCAATAAGATATTTGCTTATAGGATTGCATGTTTTATCTCAATTTTATGATATAATTGCTATTTTTTATGGCCTTCTTTCATGATAATGTGTGCGTTTGGTGCAGTTGCAGAGTACTTTCCGTGGTATCAAGATTTTCCCTCAAATGTGAACCGTTTATTTTAGATATTGTGCTAATAATAGTCTCCAGTGATAATTTTCCACAGGACGCTGCTGCGACTGTTTCTACGATGGAAGCAGCGAGTGTGGACGAGTCCATTTCCTAAGCGGGGGTGGTTGAAGTGTGCGTAGCGGGCAAATCTTTATAAAATAACTTCAACATCGCGACTACATTTTTTTAACACTTAATTGAAGTATTTGATAACCACAAAGCGCACTCACGTCTCTAGCAGTCAAAGGAAGTAGGTTTACTCGACCTTTAAGAGAAAAGAAACCCCTTTAGTCGCAACTTGGGAAAGTCGGATGAAAACCGAGCTCTGTGCCACATCTTCCACTAAATGATAAAGCTGCTACACCGGGAACTGGAAGTAGGACCGACTCAACAACAACCTAGCTTAACAAAACAACAACATTAAAGCAACTCCGGTCCGTCTTCGCTTTATTTTTTGCCTCTTAACGTGTCCGAGTCTTTTGAGCATCTTCTCTAATTCTCTTGTTGTGTTTTTATAGAGTTGTATCAGTGGGAGGAGGTGTTAGGTTGGGCTACTGTAAGTTAACGGTTAAGTTAAGGCTGTTGGTGACGTGAAGTGGGAAAGTGGGATTAAAGAAAGTGGACTTCACAACCGGAACACTCAGAAAACAACAGTTCCAGCTAAAAAAGGTAAGTTTACACGACTTTATTAAATAAAGAAACTGGTTAAAGCCTCTGTAATGTCCATCTGCTTCTGCACTTAGTCTACCCTGGTCTGCTGTGGCAATTTCCCCATGACAGAAGAGGGTGTTGTGAGGGCTACACCCATACATGACTAGCCTACATCACACCTACACTGCAGAATTTGTTACAGCTGCTTTATTATTCAGCCTCTGGTAGACTAAAAAAAAAACCATGTTGTCAGTGCAAGTTTTGCAAAAAGGACGAAACAAACTGTGAACAAAACCTGCATAAATTTAAGTTTTATTTATTTATTTTCCTATTCTTATTTAAGCAGGTTTGTCCCATTGACAGGTCCTTAAAGAGTCTTTAAATGTCTTAAATATTCTGAATATAAAAGTCTTAAATTCAAATATTTTCCATCACATCACCACAAAAATCTCTCCAGCCTGACAGACCCAGTGACTGTTTACAATCACTGGACACACCAAAGAATTGCAATAATAAATGGCATTTTTTCCCCCCTTTAACTTTTTTGTTTGATGCAGTGATAACAGAGCAAGTAAAAACAGGAGCAGAGACATATAGACAGTTAAGAAAGAAGATTACATCAAGTAAGAAAGAGACATACAATAGAAATAAAGACCAACAAAATACATACAAGGCCTTAAAAAGTCTTAATTCAGATTTAAGGGGTTTTAAATATATTCTTTCACGTTACCACAAAAATTTCTCCAGCCTGACAGACCCAATGTATGTTTACAATCATTGGACAGACTAAGTAATAAATAGCATTTATGACAGAGATGAGATTTTGTTTTCTTTTTACATTAAACACATTAAACTTAAACTCACCCACTTGTTGTCATTTTTCCTTACTGTTCGACCTGACATCAGTATGTTTACTTGGAAAGAGTACTTACACATGTATTTTGATTGCAGGTTTGGTCTTAAATGTCATATAAGATGGTATTAAAAAGGTCTTAAAAGGTCTGAAATTTTAACTTAGTTGTATCTGTAGACACCCTGATTGAGATTAAATATCACTTTTACAAGGGAGACCTGGCCAAGAACAGCAGCAACACAGTTTGAACAGAAATTAAAAATTCACATAAGCACATAGACTTTAGTGACATAGAATAATTACATAAGACAGCTGCACACAGACACCGTGGACTCAGTAGATTTCACCATGGTTTTAAACTCATTCAAGGTCGTCACGAGTTGAAGCTTCAGATAACTTAGCAGATTGTTCCATACAGCTAGTGAAGAGAGCCTAAAGGCTTTTTCCCCCCAGTTCAGCTCTGACTTTGGGCACAACAAGATGCAGAAAATTCCTGCACATGTAGATTATAACTTCCATATTTCATATTCAAGAGAGAAGATAAGTAGGATGGAATTTAAGGACCACAGCAGTGACTGAGGGGGCGTGTACATGAAGCAGGCCAGTTTAATTTAAGTATAAACACAATGGTGGATATGAGATCAACAATTTGTAATTAGTAATTGTGTATATGTGTAGTTGAAGTTAAAGCAGGGCTGTCCTATTTTCCTAAATCAATAAGCAATCACGATGTATGCATGACCACATAACAAACACAACTGCTCAGAGCATCTGTGTTCCACTGCTGGGGAAAATCTGTATACATGTCAAACAAATACTTCAATAACTTGTTGATATAATAATTAACCAAAAGTGTACCCGTGTGTGTGTGATCATTGTTTTATGATTGTTATGTAATTTGTTCTCAGGCCTCTCTTGCATAAAAGATCTTGATCTCAGATAACTAATTATTGGAATTTTTTTGTCACAGCTTGTTTGAAATAAATTGTTTGGACAACAGATATGTGATTTGATAAGCTCATGTAATCACTGTAGGATGCAGAAAGAGTTATTGCCAAGTCCTAAGGGAAATATATCGTGTGGAGACTCATTATTGATGAACAAAGACGTGGGACTATCCATCCCTTAAAACTTCTGTCTTGCCATAATCATGCGTGCCAGCCCACTAATTCCAACTACTATTTCACACTGTTGTTGCTGCTTTTTTTAATCTCACACTTTTTAATAAGAAGACGTACGCCAACATACAAAGAGTGTGTCCAAAATAAATAAGCCCACTCACTAATGGAAAACATTATCACTGTCTCATTGCTACAATAAAGATAATAATTCTGAAAGCGTGAACTTTTAAGCAGTGAGTATGATGCAGAAATCATTAAACAGGATAAATAAAATGCTTCATTAGATGAAGTGTTTTTATAGCAAGCAGCAAACATTTGAAATTGAAACACAAACATAAAAAATATTCTTGATATATCTCCTGCCTATATCGTCTGCCCCAGATTGATAGTTACAGCGCCTCCCTTTCATAAGCCTAGCTCTACTACCCTGTTGCCTTGACTACTGGTGTGTCTGGGGACTTTATCCTGATCCCCTGCATGATTTTCTCTGACACTAGTTCAGAGAGACTGCCACGATGCAGCGCTGAAAGCGAGAATAACTTGCAAGCTCATTTTCTCCTTTTCTTCCTCTCGCGCTGGACTAACTCCTCACCCACCTGATGCAGTCTTAGTTACCAGTAGCACACACACACACACACACAAATCCGAGCTGCAGGGCCGCTCTGCTCATCCACTGCACAGCAGGCTACACGCACGCACCACTAAAATGGTAACTCTGCTTTCTTTGTACGCAAAAGAGCCATATCAGTTTGTTTGATTTACATTTCATTCAAAAGAGGCACAACACAGATGGCACGAAAAATATTTTCTCTGTCGTGTTTACGCAGAGTTGAGGACGGGAAATGTTCTGTGAAATGTGGAGTCAGTTCTATTTTGGGCAGCAAGAAACTGGAAATTATCCAGCGGATTAACAAACTCTTTGTAGGGCTGCAACTCACGCTTGTTTTCATCATCTGTGAACCTACAGATTTATTTTTATTAATTGATTAGATAGGAAGTCGATCAAATGTCCATCAGAGTTTCCCAGAGGACAAGGTGATGTCTTCAGACGTCTTGTTTTGTCCAACCAGTGAATATTCACAATTTAGAGGCTTAAACCACAAACTTTTTCCTGTGCATGCAACCCATGCTTGAAAATATTGACACCAGTTGATGTAGTTGTGTACACTCACTAACTGATGCACTGTCAGAAACATAATAAGCCCCATCAGCTATGTGTCATGCTTTATGGATAGACGGACCATTTCTACTACTGCGTGTCTAAACACATACCCTCATCTCTTCTGTCCTTTATTTTTCCGTCTTTGCTAATACAAGACGTATAATGAGCATCTGGGAGAAGAATGGAGGCTTTCTTTGTTGTGACAAGCCATTACCCAGGAAATGAAGTGGGCCCAGGAATGGCAAACAGCAGTGAAACTGGCCTGCTCAGAGGTTTATAAGATCATTGCTGTGAGCCCTGGGGTGGGGGGGCCTGTGTGAACCAGTCTCATTAGGCAGGGAACCCACTGGAAAAAGTGGACCATACAGAAACAGGAATGGCTATGGGGGTTGGGGGACAAGAGGAGAGACTGTTGCTGTGTAATCAAAGGGAATTGCAAACACTGAATGTGGAATGGCAATCTCAGGGGGCTGTTGTGTATCAAACAACGCTCACAGACAGCACCCAGAGTTGCGAACTTACACTGCAATCTGTGGCAGACGAGGCAGTGAGAGCGTGATTCTCTCTGCAGAGGAGGTCACGCAGATGTCAGAGCGATATCTAGCGGTTATTTCTGACTGCATTTCAGAACATTTTCCACTGCACCAAGTAGCAACTTCGGAAAATGCCCTGTTCCCAGCTGTGAAAACATCCAAAGCATCCTGCAACATCTCAGATGCAGGCCTGCATGTACACGCAGGAATCACAAGCAGTTATAAGACAACTGTTTGCATTGCACAGAAATGTGCTTTATCAGTGTTGTGACATTGTTCTACTCCCTTCAATCTTTTTTATTCTAAGAAGTAAGTTCATAAAAAAAGTGGCATGAGCCATAATTGCAGCCCATATTTTATTTGTGTGAGTCTAGTTTACTTTTAGGGTTTAATGAGCATGTTTCAGAGGCCAGGAGACTCTGTGCAACTGCTCTGCAAGTGTGTTTGTATAATTTTAACAAACATCCTCTTTTCCAGAGTACACACTCTTTTGCTGTTTTCCACCCCAAATTACAACTATCTCCACTCTCTTAATTTAGCAGCACACATTCCTGAAACATCACTGCAGCACGCTTCAGTCTCCCAGCCTGGAATCTTCTAGGTTTTCATGTGGTTTTGTATGTTTGAGGGAATAAATAGCAACGCCCATACTTACGTCTGCTCCGGCTCAGCCTGCTCACTGAGCTGTCCTGGAAAAGTCCATGTGACCCAGAGCTGAGGAGGTGCTGTCGCTTCCTCATCCTGTTGTATGTTAGAGCGGAAGGACTACGCTCCGGCCTGCAGGGCACTGTGTAATTTAAACCATAGCCCTGTTAAATCAAAGTCAGAAGACACAATGATATTATATTCTCAAACTGAGCATCACTTTTATTCCAGTTGGTTGCTCCTGCACTGAAACATTCACAGGCTTGTAACAAATAAGCTGCCACAAAATGCCACGATAGTGTGTAAAAATGCAGTAGAAGGCTTTTGCTCTGTTTTGACACACTATAATTTGTGTCAGATTATTTTTAGCCATGCCAGCAGTGTGCAGGAGATGAATCTTAATTACTTTAGTGATTACCTTGCTTTTCCCGTAGCACCACCAGCAGCTCAAAGTGTTCAATATCTACTCCACGGATGTCTTCATACACCAGTATTGACGTTAATGGTGATATTTAAAAATGTAATGTTGATAAAACATATGATAACATTGTGTAAATAATTCAGTCCTGTTTCTTTCTGTTCTCACCCTGGCTCCCTCCACCAATCCTATGTGGTTGCCTTTTTACTACCAATTAAGTGTAATTGGTCTTTTTGTACAAGATTGTTCAGTTACAGTCACAGTTAAGTAACTGAACAATCTACTCATATTTTGAGTGTAATTCATTTGCCCAAAAAATAACCAAAGTTAAAGATGAATTTGACAGATATTGTGATAATATTGTTATCTGGAAGTCTATTGACCACAATAATCATGTAGTGAAATCCAATGGATTGGCACCATACACCGTTTAAAGTAATGGATGAGGCTACCATGACATCACCCATTAGTTTGTGGACTCGAATTTGGCATGTTGGCTGTCGCCGTCTTGGATTTTTGGAGCCAGAAGTGCCTGTATCTGGACCAGGGTCGGAAACTGACCTGACCCTTGAAAAGGAAATCTGAAAAGACTGCATGACAGCGGTGTTGTTGTCCAACCATGGTCTAAGCCGGACGAATGCTATGTTTCGATTGGCCAGTCTGGCCTGTCTGTCTGACGCAGACTGGCCAAGTCCCACACCAGGACGCAGACTGGCCAATTGAAACATAGCATTCGTCCGGCTTAGACCATGGTTGGACAACAACGCCGCTGTCGTGGAGTCTTTTCAGATTTCCTTTCAGGCTGGTTTTGTGGATTTGGAGCTAAATGTTGTGCCTGGGGCGTGTCGTGTATTAATGATACTCGTTACCTGGAGAGGTTGGAAAAAGATATATGTTTCTTCCCTGTTCCAAAACCAAAATCAAACCCTGGAAAGTGTAAGGTTAGCTAGCTAGCTACTGAAGATATAGCCTACTGAATGTATACACATGCTGCTTTTGCTTTTTAATGATTATAACTGTGAAAAAATGACCAGTGAAGGGAAGCAGGGAAACTTTGCTGATATTGAACCAGCTGTGTGGCATCGCAGTGTGCGCAGATGAATGTTGTTTGACTTCCCCTGGAGATCCCTGCCCGTCCGGTGGCAGAGGTCTGGGCATGAAGCCAAACACCGTTCATCTGCACTCACTGCGATGCCACACAGCTGGTTCAATACCAGCAGAGTTTCCCTTTATATTCATTGTCTTCTGTGGCGATCAGCAGTGATGTGGTGGTTCACTTTTACACTGTGATCTGTAGCCTATAGTTCGGCTTTAGCTTCTAACTGTCTTTGTCTTTTTAACCTGTTGTTGCTGCTGAGTCAGTTTGACATCCTGGATATATCCTTCAAACACAAACTGTAGACCCCTCTGTCTGCTACTCTCTGGAATCACTATTTCATTTAACCAAAAATATGATCATAATTCTTCAGGGAGTGCAGTTAGTTACAGTGTGGGCTCCATGCTAGCTCTGACAGCTTGTCGGACCATTACAAAGGGGCGGGGCTTAGCGAAAGCTCAATTGACTTTATTGTGCACCTGCCACTGTGGCTTGTGGATTCCAAAATCCACCAGCTGCTCAATATATTACCATTGTTTTTTTTGGGCTGGTGAGTAAAGCAAATCTAGTAGTCACTTGCATGTTTTACCAGCATTTGGCCGACGGCTGGTGCTTATTTCCAACCCTGATTTGGACGAGAGGGTGGAGCTGTGTAGGAGTGAGGGGTGAATCTGACTCAGACTGTGGTGATGCCTCACAGACAGCCTGTCACTCATTCAGCCCACCCCGATGCAGTTATCATGAAGGGGGAAATTAGCTATAGAACGTATATGTTCTGACTTGTTCTTAGGACCTTAAATCAAGGACCTTAAGGACCTTAAATCAACACTGTAACCTTAAATCAACACTGTAATTTTCAAAATCTTACCACTGGTTGAGAACATGTTTTGCCTCATTCATAAAGGACATGATTGGATTCAGTTTTTTAGCAGCTCCAACCTTTATGGACCCTTTATTGTCATGCCCTTTGCTGAACTGCTGATTTCATAATTAACTATGCACCAGTAAGAAAACGGGTCAGAGCTGAAGCGTATTAATGTGCTGTGCATCTGGTTTCATTGATTTCTTTTCCGTCCCTGAGTCTGAGTGACATTGTTATGAGTTTATGTCACTGGCTGTTCCACAGACCTGCCTGCCTCTCATGTTACTCCGTGACTCCGATTCATAAAATTGCAGGAAATTACACCCCTGTGACAATTATGAGAAATGAGGGCGCCCGCGTGTAGAAAAAGACCTCATCCAAATTCGCACTGCTCTCGTTTGTTCTACACCAGATAAAAATCCTTCTGGTGCCAATAACGCAGGAGCAATGGGATTTCAATAATTGAAAGAGCGAGAACATGGAGGATAATACATCTCGCTGCCATAAATTCATTATATGTAACACAGAGGAGTGGAGGTGTTATTCAGAAGGATTATTATGTAATTGGAAACCGCTGGTATTACCTGGAAATAGTTTTTCTTTCTATGTGTCATACTTTTTTCCATTCTTTCTCCCTCGCTGCCCCCGCACATCTCTTTTTCTGTCCCTCCCACGCGCACGTTACCAGATTCACGTTGTTAAAGATTTGCTTAGGATTTGGCAAATTTCTTCTTTTGATCTCCAAAAAGGAGAAGCAGTCATGTTTTTCAACTGCTATTTTTTATTTATTTATTTATTTTACATTGTGGCCATGTTGAAATTCATCTCTTTCTTTCATGCTGCTCTCAAACCTCTCATGAAATACAAATATTAGATGGTTGATATAAATGAGGACAAGCAGAAGTTATTTATTTCCTCTTTATAGCAGAGTATATGAAACATATTTTCTCCTTTCTTTTGAGAAAAAAACATCTGCCAAGCTGTTATCAACTTAAAATAAACCTGCGTGCAGACTGACAGGTGTCACAACCTTTTTGCTTACCAACACACCCCTGTTTGCCTCTGCTTCATCAGTGGGTTGCAGGCACAGCACGTCCCATCTAATATTTATTATGCTATTATGGTTTTATTCTGGATGTGTTGTTTTTATGCATCCTCATATCCTCAATCATGAATACCCCTGCATACATGAATAAACAGAGTTTGCAGAATATATCCATGGAAACTGAATTTAGACAAACCACGAAACCCAGAGGTGAATAGGCCCAGGTGGTCAAATGGTTCAGCCTCCGTGTTTGCGTTGGTATTTTTTATTTTTTTAAGCCATTATTTGTGTTTCTCTGTAATTAGTGTATGAACCCCACCTGCTTAAAATCAATTAGAATATTCATCTCCGCATAAAGGTGAGGATTATTGTTGGTGAACGTCTGCCCTTCTCAGTAACAACAGTCAGTATCAGCCTGACCTTTTAGAAAGTGGATTTATTGAGAATTACAATGCCCCGGGACACTTGTCCCTCCACCATGCAGTTAAGGGTCGATAACTTATCACCGTGCCAGAGGATTAATAGGGTATCCAGGGAGACACAGCCACAGACACATGTATTGTAACCTCATGACATCCCAGTTGTAATCTTTTTCTGCTGTGTATGGACACTGTCTCAACTGTCCAGATTTATCCCTCAGCTTGGTTGCCTGATATGCATCATCAGCACATGTTTTATGATGAAACACTGCTGCGAGCTGGGAGGAATTATTGAACCAATGAATCATTTATGATATTCACACAAGGATATTAATGGGTGTTGTTGGTCCCCTGCAGGAAGAGAGGAAGCTGAGCAGCCGCCGACGTGTTGAGTAAAAGCGCCGGGCGAGTGGAAAAGTGAAAGGAGAAGGTAGAAACACCAGCCCAGCGACCTGCCTGCCTGCCCACCTGAGAGTACTGCGTCATGGGGAAACAGAACAGCAAGTTGCGGCCCGAGGTCCTGAACGACCTGAGGGAGAACACAGAGTTCACCGACCACGAGCTCCAGGAGTGGTACCGCGGCTTCCTCAAGGACTGTCCCACCGGCCACCTGACCGTGGAGGAATTCAAGAAGATCTATGCCAACTTTTTCCCCTACGGAGACGCCTCGAAGTTTGCCGAGCACGTCTTCCGCACGTTTGACACCAACGGCGATGCCACCATTGACTTCAGGGAGTTTATCATTGCCCTGAGCGTGACGTCTCGTGGCGGGTTGGAGCAGAAGCTGCGCTGGGCTTTCAGCATGTATGACCTGGATGGGAATGGGTACATCAGTCGGGCAGAGATGCTGGAGATAGTTCAGGTGAGGACATACTGTAGAATAAATAAATCTTCGAAGCTTCATTCATAATGTTGACAATAGAACTCTAAATCTACATTTGGATGCTGCACAGCTTCTTTTTGTTGTTGTTTTGGTTTGGTTTTTGAATGTTTATAAGTTCTGTTTAAACCCTGTATTTGTCTACAATTGCACATAAAATTAGGCTACACTAATGTTATTGATATTATACTATTTGTAGAATTAGATTTCAGTGGTGGCTACATCGAATTGTTCCTCACATGATCCAAACATTGCACAGTGGTGCAGTGCTTAGCATTGTTGCCTCTCAGCAAAGGGGAATCCAGGGTGGGGGGTTCAAACCCTGGGGTGAGGGAGCCCCTCTGTGTGGAGTTTGCATGTTCTCCCAGTGTCAGCATGGGTTTTCTCCGAATACTCTGGCTTCCTCCCACAGTCCAAAGACATGCAGGCTAGTTTGATTCTCTAAATTGTGCGTAGGTGTGAATGTGAGTGTGAATGGTTGTCTGTCTCTATGTGTCAGCCCTGTGATAGTCTGGTGACCTGTCCAGGATGTATCCCACCTCTCAGCCAAAGCCAGCTGGGATAGGCTCCAGCCCTCTTGCGACCTCCAACAGGATAAGTGGTTACGGAAAATGAAATTAAATGTGAATGATCCAAACATTTCCATAGTTTTCATAGTATTTAAAAAATAAATTCACAACATTCTTTTTTTTTTTGTAAGGAAATATTCTGCCTCAATCCATATTTTTTGGTGTTAAGCCTTTTTAAAATCGACATTTTGACTGCGCTCAAGAAACTGATTGCTTTTCCACTTGCTACACATAGAGGGAGGCATGCACCTATATCAATGGAATGGTCTCGCAGCAATATCACAGCACAATAAATTCCATTTAATCATTAAAGAGAGTTGATATAAAAGACATACTCTTTAATCTAATGAATCACTTTATTCAAATGGAAGGTTTTGTGTCAAGATTTTTTTATTTTTGGGTGATGATGTTATAAAATATGACAACATTCAAAGCTTCATTCGAAAACCTCAGAAGAAGCTTTGAATTAATTTTTTTAAAAATGAAAAAAAAAAAAAAATTACAATTAAACTTTTTTTAAAATTTTTTTAATTAAAACATAGTGAAAATCTCAACCCAGAAATAGAAGATGAGACAAAGATATCTAATCACATTACTTTGTAATGTACATTTTATCTAGCCTAACCTAGATCCATAACAGAAATATCAAATGTCATTTATTAATCAGGATTAATTAAATTATTACTTGTTCTATAAATATTTATTCCAAGTGGGGCTGCAAGTAACGATTACCTTCATTATTAATGAATCTGATATCTGACAATACTGTCTGTCACAGGTGATGTCTTCAGTTATCTTGTTTTCTTTGGCTAACAGTCCAAAACCTAAAGACATTGTGTCAGTATTTTAATTATGTTGTATGCAATCTAGGTTTCGTTTTGGTAGTCGTCTCAGTAGTCACTTGCAGGTCTGAATTCATGATATTTTCACCTCAGACATCATGGATGCAAGCTGCCCTTTCTGTTTTTTCTTATCGCTGTGGCTATATTTACTCTTCCAATATGGTGAGCTGAGCAGCCTGCAGCGCCATATCAATATTGGCTCAGTCCGTTGTGTTTGTGGATACAAATGAATGTGGAGGCAAAAAAAACAGGCGTCAGTGCTTTTGTTATCGGTGAATGCTCTCTGTTTTTCAGCAGAAAGTCTTTCTCTCACCACAGACCTACACCATGTGAAACACGTACAGTTTTAGAAGACACACATTCAGAGTGACTTGCTGTGAGTGTAACAGCACGATGGGCTTCAGTTGCCAGAGCACTATCATTACCAGGTAGCAACAGAAAACAGGTCAGAGCACTCAGACAAAGGATGTAACGAATATGTCAGGTGGGAACAGCTATTTTTCGTCTTCCCTGCCTAAAGCTTCACACAGACAAAATTAATATGCGCAATAACGGCAATCGTTCTCACTCTTTTTTATAGGCAATTTACAAGATGGTATCATCAGTGATGAAGATGCCTGAGGATGAATCAACGCCAGAGAAGAGGACAGATAAAATCTTCAGACAGATGGACATTGACAATGATGGTAAGACTGGTCTTTTAGTGTTATGTGCTTTATATGCTTTTGTGAGGAGTTATCATAAGAGGATGTCGCTGTCAGTACTGAAAGGAACTGGACATTAAACAGGTATATAAGTACTATATAAACATGGACTAATGGGTGGAGGTGTAAGCGGAAACAACTATAACTCCTCCAGTGGGCATCCAAGTAAGCAAGTATGCTAAAGCATACTTAATCTAAGTACGAAATTATACTTGATTGAAGTACATTTGAGTATACTTCCACGAGCAGATGATTAATGTGCTGAAAGCGTGCTGTTTTTAAGGACTAACAATGTACTGATAAACTAATGATATGTCATTATTGCCAGTAAAGATATATTAATATAAAATATAGTGTTCTTGACTATTTTGAGACACTATTAAGTTGCATTTAATATACATATTTTTTTATATCCAAAGCTTTTAGAAATGTAATTTTTTCTACTTGAAGTATATTTAAATCTATTTTTCTGGTAACTGTTAAAACATTTATTAGGGCTCTCCCAAATGTTTCAAAACTCCTACCATTGCCATGGTAACTGACAACCAAATCAGTATTAGAATGCTGTGGGGTTTTTTTGTTTGTTTGTTTTTATGTAGGCATTACCCCAAAAAGTCCAAATAGCCTATGAAAAAGAAATAGTAATCCAACATTAATTTTTTTTTTTTTGTCCTCGTCTCTCTTGGGACTCACGAATACAATAATTGTAAAGTTTATGAACAATGGCTGAAAGTTTCGAAGCTTTGCGTAGTAGTGGGTAATTCTCTCTGATGCGTCAAAGCCCCAAAAATGGTGTTTGGATTAACCCTGACACTTATAATAAATAATATATAATGAATATAATCATAATACATATATTTACAATAAAGTAAACTGTGTCAGAAATACATTTTAAGTACAATTCAATTAAAGACACTTCCAATAGAAACAAAATTAGACACTAATTCTCTTAGATAACTATTAATAAACTGAAAATGTACAATCAATAGATTTATAATTGAAGTAGAATGTGTTAAAAAAGTACAGCATTATCAGAGAAAGATGTACATAAGTATGTAAGTGCATCTCAATGGTGTTTCACAGTAGTACAACCAAGTACATTTATTACAAGTTCATCTACTTTAGGATGTCTTTAGTAGCACTAATGATGTAACATTAGCATTAGGGATCCACAATATTAGATTTTTGGCAGATATTCGATATGCTGATTTATAATAACTCATTTGGCGGATAACTGAAACCATTATTATTATCATGTCTATTTTTTCTCTACTGTATTTTAGTGATCATCAAGTCTCTTCTGTAGTGAAATTATGCTTGCATACTCTTATCCTGATGGCCCACAAGCTGATGGAGACATGAAAGACAATGCTTTTCAGTATATGTTATATTCATTTATTGTGCAAAAAAAGCATTGTGGCCGATTCTGATCAATTTAAAGCCAATATCAGCCATTACTGATGACGTGTCGACATTATTGTGCAGCCTTATTTGGCATACGAAGGTACATTGGTAGTGCATCAGAAGTAGCACACTTTCAGTACATTGCTAATGAGTATATTAGTTCAATGTCCTTTTTTTGTACCTGAGCATCCAATTTAAATATGGGGACTTAAAGTGCATCTTTAATCAATCAATTATAGACATATAATTAAAGATCAGTTATTAAATGGTCTTTGACATTATACCTTGTTTACCCCTTACCACTGGAGAGCAGTTTGGAGAGGAACAGGAAATATGGAAGATGGGCAACAGAGAGAGAAACAGGATATCATATAACAACATGACATAACATAAACACAACTCACAAGATCATTACTGGCCTTTTGCATCTTGTCCTGCTGAGCCACCTGGATGTCTGACATTTAGTGTGATGAGGTGATGCTACAGCCATGTGATGTGTACTTATGCATTTTCCAAGTCATACTGTTCTGACTGTTTTTGACATGTCAGGAAGATGTTAAGAGTTATTCATATGGCAGTGGGCAGCTCAGTTTGTTTTGCAGCAGAAGGCTCAGAAAGTCTGGAGGTTAAACTGTGTGTCTCACATTTTATAACATCACGTGGGACTGAAGACCAGGCCTGCACTTAACCCTCCTTTCTAATTCAATTCATACAGATGCTGTGTGACACAAAGTGAAGGTTATTTTAAACTAATTGAAGTGTACTGTTGCAGTTTCTCTTTGTGTGACATCAGTCAAAACTTTATGACATAGTATACCATGACATTTTTTTGCAACATAGTATACTATGACATTTTATTTGATATTTTAGCGACATACTATACTATGACATTTCTTGTGCTATTTTAGAGGCATACTACAGTATAGCATTAAATATGACATTTTTTGTAACGTACTATACTATGGCATTTTATGTTGTGGTTTTTGCGACGTACTAAACTATGACATTTTATGTGATTTTTTTGTGACGTACTATACTACGATATTTTATGTGACATTTTATGTGACATACTATACTATGACAACCCTGACCCTAACCCTCTAAAAAAGCACATGAAATGTCATAGAATAGTATGTCGCTAAAATATCACATTAATGTCACAATAAAGTATGTTGCCAAAAATGTCATATAAAATGTCATAGTATAGTGTGTTGCAAAAAATATCACATAAAATGTCATAGTATAGTATGTTGTTAAAAATGTCATAAAATGTCATATGTCACAAAAAAGCCATTGTATAGTTTGTCATCAAAAATGTGATAAAAACGTCATAGTATAGTATGTGGTCAAAAATGTCACAAAAACGTCATAGTAGTATGTGGTCAAAAATGTCACAAAAAAGCCATTGTATAGTATGTCATCAAAAATGTGATAAAAATGTCATATTATAGTATGTGATCAAAAATGTCGCAAAAAAGTCATAGTATAGTATGTCAACAGAAATGTCACAAAAAAAGCCATTGTATAGTTTGTCATCAAAAATGTGATAAAAACGTCATAGTATAGTATCTGGTCAAAAATTTGACAAAAATGCCATATTATAGTATGTTGTCAAAAATGTCATAAAAACGTCATAGTATAGTTTGTCCTCAAAAATGTCACAAAAAATCATAGTATAGTATGTGTTAAAAAATGTGATAAAGTGTCATAGTATAGTATGTGATCAAAAATGTCACAAAAACGTCATAGTATAGTATGTCATCAGAAATGTCACAAAAAATGTCATAGTATAGTATGTCGTCAAAAATGTCACAAAAAAGCCATTGTATAGTATGTAATCAAAAATGTGATAAAAATGTCATATTATAGTATGTCAACAGAAATGTCACAAAAAAGCCATTGTATAGTTTGTCATCAAAAATGTGATAAAAACGTCATAGTATAGTATGTCATCAAAAATGTCACAAAAACGTCATAGTATGTCATCAAAAATGTCACAAAAAAGTCATAGTATAGTATGTCATCAAAAATTTGACAAAAATGTCATAGTATAGTATGTTGTCAAAAATGTGATAAAGACATCATAGTATAGTATGTCGTCAAAAATTTGACAAAAATGTCATAGTATACTATGTTGTCAAAAATGTGATAAAAGTGTCATTGTAAAGTATGTGATCAAAAATGTCATAAAAACGTCATAGTATACTATGTTGTTAAAAATGTCATAAAAATGTCATAGTATAGTATGTCATCAAAAATGTCACAAAAATGTCATAGTATAGTATGTCGTCAAAAATTTGACAAAAATGTCATAGTATAGTATGTTGTCAAAAATGTCACACAAACGTCATAGTATAGTATGTTGTTAAAAATGTCATAAAAATGTCATAGTATAGTATGTCATCAAAATGTCACAAAAACGTCATAGTATAGTATGTTGTCAAAAATTTGACAAAAATGTCATAGTATAGTATGCAGGGCCTGACGCTAACTTTTTTCCCAAGGAGCACATGTGCTCCTAAGTTGAAAAAGTAAGGAGCGCACAAAGAACTTTAGGGGCACAATGTAAATTGATCAAATAATGTGTTTCCCGTAATAAACGTGATGCAAATAGACATTTTCAAGCAAAATTATGTAATGAATTTGTATACAAAATGTACAGAAAGGTAAAATCATCAAGTTTTGAAAAAGCAGGCCTATTGCAATTTAATTTTGTCTTTAATGTTATTATCTTATATATATTATCTTTGCAATATGATTATCTTATATAATGTTATTACTATCCTAAAACATTCTCCAGGTCCTCTGAAACTCTGCAGGACTTAAGCCTCTTTCACACAGAGCTTTCGTGGGGCCCACCGCGGGGTAGGGCGCATAGGACAGGATCTGGGGGAGTACAGGCTCGTTCAGGAGCTACAGCTCCATGGTGACCGCTTTCGGGTCTACTTCAGGCTCTTCTCTGCTATTGGACGCGCGGCGCCGAGGTGTCGCAGACGCCGCAACATGCGCCCTCTCGCGCGCCGCTCAGCTCGGCGGCAGAGCGGTGCGCTCTTGCGCCGCGGTAGCACATACACAATGAATGGGTTCGTCGGCGGAGGTCTGCGCTTTGCGCGCTCTGTGTGAAAAGGGCTTTATTTCCACCCTGCCCAGCAGCGGTACCGTGGCGAACGGTCCCCAAAGGCCTCTACACATGATCAGCTGTAAAACCGCTTTGCGCTGGCTGTCCCATTGTTTGTCTATGGAGAGGGCAGCAACGCCTGACAAAGCGGCACCGCTACCCTTGGCGTCGTGCACCGCTCTGATTTTCCGCCCGAGCGCTGCGCTCAGAGTTGAAATTATTTGAACTACGGGGAGAACGGAGCAGGCTTCCCCGGAGATCCGCCGCTTAACCCCGTCCATCTCCTCCACACTTTGACTTATTTCCACGCTGCCGACAGTGAGACTTAAGCCCTTTTCACACAGAGCGCGCAAAGCGCAGACCTCCGCCGACGAACCCATTCATTGTGTATGTGCTACCGCGGCGCAAGAGCGCATTGTGCCGACAGTGGCTTGGAAAACTGCCCATAACCATGTCACACGGGGAAGAGAGAAGAGGGAAGGCGACTGGAGTTCCTCCAACATTTGTGGTTAGAGTATCATATTTTTTTATTGACAAAAATATAGGCTGCTTCGGCTGATTATTTATGCGCACATGTGCCCCTAAATATTTTTTACAGTTCGCACACATCTATTTTTAGTCGCAAATGCGAGTGAAACGCTCGCACTGTTGAGCCCTGGTATGTCGTCAAAAATGTCACAAAAACGTCATAGTATAGTATGTCGTCCAAAATATAAAAATGTCATAGTATTATATGTCATCAAAAATGTGATAAAAATTTCATAGTAGGCCTATAGTATGTCCTCAGAAATGTCACAAAAACGTCATAGTATAGTATGTGTTAAAAAATGTGATAAAGTGTCATAGTATATTATATCTTCAAAAATGTCACAAAAACGTCATAGTATAGTATGTGATCTAAAATGTGACAAAAATGTCATAGTGTGATCAAAAATGTGATAAAAATGTCATAGTATAACCTAGTATGTGATTAGAAATGTGATAAAAGTGTCATGGTATAGTATGTGATTAGAAATGTGATAAAAGTGTCATAGCATAGTATATGATCAAAAATGTCACAAAAACGTCATAGTATAGTATGTCGGAAAAAATGTCATATATAATGTCAGTTTAATTTCCCTATAAAATATCACATAAAATGTCATAGTATAGTATGTTGCAGAAAATCTCATAAAATGTCACAGTATAGTGTATCACATACAATACTAAGACATTTTATGTGACAGTTTTTTAACATTGTATTACACTCACTTAACACTCATTCTAACACTTTTCATACAACATTATTATGGCATACTATACTTTAACATTTTATGAGATCTTTTTAAATAAACTGTGACTTTATGTGATTATTCATGACATGTTTGATTTTTCATGATATTTTCATTTCTATTTTTACATAGTTATACAAACAACATACTCAGTTGGCAACAGCAATATTGATACATAAAACACTTAATATAATTTACAGTACAAAACGTGTAGTGTTGCATATTCCATGTTATGAAATCAATGCAGCTGAAGAATTCATGACTTATATAAAAATAGCACAACATCACCACCTGCTGGTTGACTTGTTTGGACGGCTATAAATGACTCAATTATTCAGTCATAAAATGTTAATGGAAGTTGATCATCATTTATTTAAGAGATGTGGTGTAGTTGTCTGCACTGTGTAATCTGGGGCAGCAGTGATTATATCAGAGGCACAATGAAAACATCACAAGCTCTTCTGTTGATTTTGGTGGGTGGTTGCTGCATGATTCACCCCTCCATCACATGCTCCACTGCTGGTGACTGTGAATCTTTTTTTGGTCTCTGCTTCACAGGTAGACTGTCTTTGGAGGAGTTCATTAAAGGTGCCAAGAGCGACCCGTCCATTGTCAGACTGCTGCAGTCGGATCAGGGAGCCTCTCGCCAGTTCTGAGGACAGAGACAATAACAGACACACACTCTCTTCAACACAATCACAAAACTACATCCATCCAGCTTCGTGCTGTTCACCTGATAGAGGCTCGGTCATCATCACAGCCCCCCCTCACCAGACAATCCTTTCATTCTAACAACACTCCATGTCTTAATGTTTACATTAATGGATACTCCTCCTTTGTCAATGTGGCTCCTTTCTGTGGACTATGACGTGCTTTCAGTTGAGGTATTTTGTGTATATGCTTTTCCAAAGCTCTTTCGCTTTGAAATGGTTTTTACCCATTCTCCATAAGTGAAGTGCCATATCATATATTTATACTGACTGGATTATATGCTCCCAAGTATTATGAATCCTGTTATGTTACACCAAGAGGAAACTAATTACATCACTTCTTATTATTTGATTCAACTTAACTGTGTTGAAAAGTGGCTTATTGTTGTTCAGGATATCAGACTTGTGGCTTAAAGGGATAGTTTGGAGTGGGGTTGTACGCAGTACTCATCCATAGTCAGTGTATTATATACAGTAGATGGTGGTCAACACGCCCCGTTTGGAGAAGCAGGCTGGAGTCCGACAAGGAAGCTAAGCAATGTACAGCTGTGGATGGGGTCAGCAAGTAAACAAATTGTAGCCACCGTAGAAAAGTCCCACCAAAAACTAAACATTAATACCACTTTGAAGGATAAGCAGTGGAATGAGCTGCAATGGAAGCACACAGGGCAATTAAACTACTCTGATTACTTTACTCTCTCCAGAACTCAGATACGGCTTCCAGTGTTGTTTTCCTGTAACAAGCGTGGTATCTTGTGATTTCCAGAAAGAGACTTCTGCTTAAGAAGGCAAAAACAAACAGACCGGATCAAGTAAAAGGTAAAAAGACACTTACAATAACAATCTGAGCCACTGTCCATTAAAAGTGGTCATAAAAACTGTTGTTCACATTGGTCTCTTTGATCAATTTACATGAGGAAATAAGGTCCAGGTTGAAAAATGCTTAAGTGATCCTTTAGGTTTACACTACATTAAAATAGTTTCGCTGCTTTATCTCAGACAGCGATATCAGACAGGGAACTGAAGCCGTTACATCGCTCTCTTCAACACCAGACTCCATTGACAAAAACAGTAATTCTGGCTGGCTGAACACAGGAGCTGCTGGTCTACCGCTGCCTCGATCAGTTAGTTTGTGTTATAATATGACCTTGGCTTTTAAAAGGGTTAGTTCAGATTCACCAAAGCCACACAATAACACAAACTAGCTAACTGATCGAGGCAGAGGTAGACCAGCAGAAAGCGAAATTTACTTTTTGTCAATGGAGTCTGGTGGCTTTGACAAGAGCACAGATGTGGAGCTGGAACCGGCTGTCTGATGGCAAAGTAAAGATGTGAAAATACAGTGATTTCAGACGAGGAACTGAGCTGTTATCAGCACCAGACTCCACTGAGAAAAATGGTTATTTTGGCTCGCTGAACACTGTAGCTGATGGTCTACCGCTGCCTACATTAGTTAGTTTGCATTATTGTGGGACTTGTGTTGAATCTGATTAAACCCTCTTAAACGCCAAACTCACAAAATAAAACAAACTAATGAACTGATACAGGCAGCAGTAGACCAGCAGCTACCATGTTTAAGAAGCCAAAATGACCCTTTTTGTCAATGGAGTCTGGCTTTGGAGAGCACTTTTAACAGCTTCAGTTCCCCATGTGAAACTATTATACATATAGTGCACACTTAAACTTGTATTGACTTTCTTTAGGTGGTTATAATACATTTTACTGCTGCCCTCATCCACAACAGCACATTGCTGAGCTTGCATCTTCAAACTGGGGGGCGTGTCAACTGGCATCTGTACGCATTACACTGACTATGGATAAGTATCTCATATAACCGTGAACTAACCCTTTACCAAGTTGTGTCCCTGAACAAGCTCTGTATGCCTTTGGTATTGCATGCGCTCAGTGATATGAGTTTTCTGACATTGTAACAGTTTACGTGAATAAGGAGGCCGTGATTGTTTTTATTCCTTTTTATTTTTGTAACAAAAATTTTGTTTTCACACAATTGAAATAAAGTCGTGTAAGAAAAATCTACACAAAAAGTCCCACAGTATCCCCCTTGTCCTGGACAAACATGATGCAAACCCACCGAGATTCTCACTGACTGGTTTAAAAAGAGAAAACAAAGATATAGAGGAGTCACATTAGGTTGGACATTGAAGTGTTACGTTGACAAGTCCACATTTTAAAACAGGTGTTCAGAGTGGCTGAAGAGGGGAGAGCGGAGCAATGTTTGGAAAAGACTTGAATGAACAACCAAAATGCCACATTCAGAACCTCCTCCCTCCTCCTCAGCTGGCAGCGGCCATATAAATATGCAGCGTCTAACGTTCAGCAGGTATGTGAGGCAGAGTTCACTCCGGGGACACATACACACACGCCTCCTCCTCCTCCCTGCTGTCCCCGTGTGACTGACAAAGATGATGTGAGAAACTGCAGGTGTCTCTCATGTGTCTGTTCTGAAGTATTTCAGTAACTGAGCGACCGGGCCTCCCATTCATCCACAGGAGAGGGGAGGTGGGTCGCACAGGACCAGACCAGACCAGTCCAGACCAGATCCAACCAAGTCAGTCTGGATCAGATCCTTCGCAGTTTGGGCTCATAACTCATCTTTATCAAGGTCATCATCCAGGTCCACATCGCTGAGGTCGTAATCCTCCTCCTCGGGAAGCTGCAGGTGACAGGGTAAAATTAAGACAGACTGTTAGCAGAGATGGTTGTAAACATGAAAACGTGCCACATTCATTTATAGATGACAATCAGTAGAGTTAAAACAACTCCAACTGCTGTATTACATACATGACTGTTGATATGTTATCCTGTGTGCAGTACAGAGGCAGCAGAGAGCAGCTAGGTTCATATAGTGCGTATTAAAGCCCATTTTAACCCCACGCTAATTTTACACCTGGGCCAAACTTCAGCCAGATCTGTTTCATGTTCAGCTGGAGGGGGGTCAAGACTCCCAGTTAACTGCATGACTGATCAGTGATCTGGCTGTCGCACGATTGGTTGGATTTCTGGCATGTCTGCAATTTTGGTCGACTCTCTTGCATTCAAACTGAGATAAGCTTGTTTTAATATTATTTGAGGAATGTTTTATATGTTGAGGCTAAAAGTTTTGACTGAGACTGTGCTGATAAAACTGAACTTCACTGCAGAACAGACCGAGTGCAGGGCTCGAAATACTTAAAATTAAATTTTACCAAACGCTCCCTTTATCTTTAAGTCAGCGCTGTTAGGGATGAGTTCGTCTTTTTTGAGTTGACCTCAGTGGAATTGTCAGACATAGTAAAGCTGTGTGTTTAACAGTAACAGTAAGCATACAGTGTCTGCTCAGCTTAACACTGTGTGGTTGAAGGCCTCAAACCTGTTATCATCTGTACATAGAGTATTAAAACCTCTGACCACGAGAAGCTCCCACTCACCTGTCCATCCTTCCCGTCCCAGGGCTCAACAGTGTTAATCTTTGGCAGGGCTCCACCTCCCAGTGTGGCAGTTGACCCACGGCCCACAGATAGCTCCCTGTAGACGAGACATTAGCTCTGTTATACAGCTCACTCTAAAAATATTTTCACTTAGATTCTTGTATTGAATAAAAATGATTTCTACCTGAGGAACTCATGGATGCCCGTCTCACTGAAGGAGCCCCTGAGCAGAGCAAACTTCATCTTGCGTGTGTTGATGGCGGCCATGGCGGGATAGCCGAATCCACCAATACCCAGAGAGGCCTCCAGCTGCATCTGAGCTCCGGCCTCAGTCCACATCCAGCTGATGGAGGGGAGAACGAGCCATTAGTCACAGTGGTAATAAGTCATTTTAATAATAATAATGATGATAATAATAATGATGATAACAATAATAATAATAATAATAATCTCTGGTCCTCACCCCCACATCTTCTTCTTGTACTTCTCAGCCATCTTAATCATCACCTCCAGGTAGCCGTTTCTACCTGCTGCTCCTGTTGAGATACGACGACAGAGGATGGTGAGTGAATTAAAAAACTAGTCATTAGGCGACTAGTCGACTAATGGCCCTAAATGACGACTGTTGGTCGATTTGGAAAATTCTTAGTCGGGGGCTGCCCTAGAAATTTGTGAACTACTTAAGTTCAGAGTGAGAGGTGTGTCTGGTCTCACCTGTGTCCAGGATGTGCGGCAGGACAGCGATTATACACAGCTGACTGTCCTCACAGGTCTTCTTCAGGATGTCTTCACTGAGGATCTGAGACAAACATTTACAAAACACATTTAGCTTCTATGTGAATCCACATAATCTTACAGCCAGGGTTCACAAAAAAACAAAAAAACAAAAAACAACATCAACACAATAAGAGGTAAGGGCAGGGGAATGGAAGTTCATACCAAGTACAAGTAGGCCACATACAAGATGCAAATATGCAAGTGTGCAAGAGAAGTGCAGCCATTGCACTATTTGCTATTAGGCATATCAACAGCACTTGGGATGAAGGAGACATCCTTCACCCGGTCCTCCTAACAAGTGCCCTGAAACGACATCCTGAGGGCCAGTCTAATATAACATTAGCCCTTAAATAAACCTGCCTGCTCCCTGAAATCTAACTCGCCATTTTAACCAGACTTCCAAGTCTGTTCTTCTCTGGACAGATAAAGATTTCCAAATCAAGTGAGAACACAAAGGGTTAAAACAGATTCAAACATCTGTTACAGAGAGTCATTATCTCAGAAGAAATGTTTTAAGAGTTAAATTTTCTCAGGAAAAAAAAGACTTGGCGTCAACATGGGATTTTTTCCCATTCATTTAAACATGATGCAAATACACAAGTGTACTGACCTCCAGCAGCTCAGGAGGAGCGGCATTATCAGAGAACAGATCCATAGCCCGCTCGATGATGTCACCACGAGAGCGGCCTCCTTGGTAGTCCTCGGGCTCCTCGCCTTTACGGAAAATCTTGATGGTGGGAAACCCACGGATCTACACACACAAAACACACAGCTCTGTGAATAACTGCCTCATATTCAGCTGCATATTGACATCCAGTCAGGGATCAGCTATAGGTATACTATATCTTTTAATCATTCTGTACAATATGACACATCTGAGTGACCTTCAGCAGTAAGACACAGCTGTTAAATTGGGTGGGAGCAACTTAATTAAAAAATACTGAAAATTAGCAAGGGAGGAAAAGTAAAAAAACAAAAACAAAAAGGAAATGACCTGAATGGCAAAAAAATTAAAAATAAAAATACATACAGTACAGGCCAAAAGTTTGGACACACCTTCTCATTCAATGCGTTTTCTTTATTTTCATGACTATTTACATTGCAGATTCTCACTGAAGGCATCAAAACTATGAATGAACACATGTGGAGTTATGTACTTAACAAAAAAGGTGAAATAACTGAAAACATGTTTTATATTCTAGTTTCTTCAAAATAGCCACCCTTTGCTCTGATTACTGCTTTGCACACTCTTGGCATTCTCTCAATGAGCTTCAAGAGGTAGTCACCTGAAATGGTTTCCACTTCACAGGTGTGCCTTATCAGGGTTAATTAGTGGAATTTCTTGCTTTATCAATGGGGTTGGGACCATCAGTTGTGTTGTGCAGAAGTCAGGTTAATACACAGCCGACAGCCCTATTGGACAACTGTTAAAATTCATATTATGGCAAGAACCAATCAGCTAACTAAAGAAAAACGAGTGGCCATCATTACTTTAAGAAATGAAGGTCAGTCAGTCCGGAAAATTGCAAAAACTTTAAATGTGTCCCCAAGTGGAGTCGCAAAAACCATCAAGCGCTACAACGAAACTGGCACACATGAGGACCGACCCAGGAAAGGAAGACCAAGAGTCACCTCTGCTTCTGAGGATAAGTTCATCCGAGTCACCAGCCTCAGAAATCGCAAGTTAACAGCAGCTCAGATCAGAGACCAGATGAATGCCACACAGAGTTCTGGCAGCAGACCCATCTCTAGAACAACTGTTAAGAGGAGACTGCGCCAATCAGGCCTTCATGGTCAAATAGCTGCTAGGAAACCACTGCTAAGGAGAGGCAACAAGCAGAAGAGATTTGTTTGGGCCAAGAAACACAAGGAATGGACATTAGACCAGTGGAAATCTGTGCTTTGGTCTGATGAGTCCAAATTTGAGATCTTTGGTTCCAACTGCCGTGTCTTTGTGAGACGCAGAAAAGGTGAACGGATGGATTCCACATGCCTGGTTCCCACTGTGAAGCATGGAGGAGGAGGTGTGATGGTGTGGGGGTGTTTTGCTGGTGACACTGTTGGGGATTTATTCAAAATTGAAGGCACACTGAACCAGCATGGCTACCACAGCATCCTGCAGCGACATGCCATCCCATCCGGTTTGCGTTTAGTTGGACGATCATTTATTTTTCAACAGGACAATGACCCCAAACACACCTCCAGGCTGTGTAAGGGCTATTTGACCAAGAAGGAGAGTGATGGAGTGCTGCGGCAGATGACCTGGCCTCCACAGTCACCGGACCTGAACCCAATCGAGATGGTTTGGGGTGAGCTGGACCGCAGAGTGAAGGCAAAGGGGCCAACAAGTGCTAAACACCTCTGGGAACTCCTTCAAGACTGTTGGAAAACCATTTCAGGTGACTACCTCTTGAAGCTCATGGAGAGAATGCCAAGAGTGTGCAAAGCAGTAATCAGAGCAAAGGGTGGCTATTTTGAAGAAACTAGAATATAAAACATGTTTTCAGTTATTTCACCTTTTTTTGTTAAGTACATAACTCCACATGTGTTCATTCATAGTTTTGATGCCTTCAGTGAGAATCTACAATGTAAATAGTCATGAAAATAAAGAAAACGCATTGAATGAGAAGGTGTGTCCAAACTTTTGGCCTGTACTGTATGTATATGTATTCCATGACATATGTTTGAATGTAACAAAAAAAAAAAAAAAAGTAAATCCCTGTGCACAGCAGGACAGTGCTTCTTCTAGGTGCCAGCTGGTGCAGGATAAATCACAGTCAAAAGTTCAAAAACTTCCAGCGCAATCTGATGAAGCAACATGCGAGACGCGTTGTTCGCTCCTTTTGTTTTTAAACATTTTTGAATAAACTCTGTTTCAATCCTGACATTCTAGTGTGCGCTGGAAGTTTTTGAACTTTTGACCATATGTTTGAATGTATTATTATGTATTATTTTATATAATCATAAATATAGGTTGGTTTTTTTTTGGACATTCATTCATTTTCCTATTCAAAAAAAAAAAAAAATCTCTTAAAAAGGCTGCAGAGACATTTATTAAATGTCCAATCCAGGAGGAGGAGCGTGTACGTTTAACCACGACTATACAGAACTCATTTCATGATTGAGACTTGACATTTCAGATCGTACAAGCTGTCATATTTACAAGGTCAAAGCCACACCTCAGTAGCCACTAGATCATCATCACGTTTGGCTATTTAAATGTAGTTAATCTCAGCAGCTGTGGCCAATCGACTGTGTCCTCTTGTGCAGTCATGTGTGCAGTGTGTTCTCACTTTTGTCTACTGTTACAGTATTTTCCATCAGAGCTGTGCACCACTGCACCACATTAACTTATTGATCCCTGCTTACCCCGTAGCGGCTGGACACAGCCTGGTGTACGGTAGCGTCCACAGCTCCGAGGCGAACTTTGCCCTTGGTCTGCTCCTTCACAGCTGTGGCTGCAGCTGCCCACTCAGGCTCCAGGCTGTCAGCAACAGAGGAGAGGGATGGTTAAAAACACGGACGATGACACACGTAAAGGAATAATTCCACTGTAGATCATTCAAAGTTCAATATTAGATGTTTCCCAAATAATTCTGTGCTTCTGAAAAATTGACGTAAACTGAAAAAAATGTTGCAAAGTGGATTGAAGGTTTAGGAAACACAGCTCAGGTCTCACTGAGCAGTGTTAACAGGGATTACTGTGTGCTGAATTAGTGTTTTAAAGTCTGGTCTGTGGATTATCCGGATTTACTGGGACATTTTATCCGGAAAGAAAAACAAAATTCCAAAAATCATTGCTGTATCAGGACAGCAGAAATCTTAGAGACCGATATTTCATCTCTCTTCTCCTTCTTGCTGTGGACGGACTGTGTCAGGTGCCACACTCACTTCTTGCAGTGTCCACACCACGGGGCGAAGAACTCCACCAGCCACACATCATCACTCTCCAGCACCATCTTGTCAAAGTTGTCATCAGTGAGCTAGACCACGTCCTGCTTACTGCCGCCGCCGCCGCTGCTGCTCTGCTGGATGAAAACTGAGTGTTACTGAATAGTGTTCACAGTGTTTCTAATTTCAAACCTCAGTGTTTCACTACTGGGCCTACCTGCTTGTAGCCAGAGCTGCCAGACTTGCCGCTCATCCTGTCTTTCACCAGAGTGCGCAGAGCGTTCATGGCTCCGTCCACGATGGCCTGGCTGCTGCGCCCACCTGACGGGTGAAGAGGGGGCAGCCACAAACTTATTATACATCCTCAAGTCTGCCTAAAAATAACTTCAACAGTCAAAAAGTGTCCAAAAAGGGCTTGAGAGCACATCAGTGATTCACTGAGAAAGGATGACATGTGAGTGTGTTGCCTCTCTGACGACTATGTCCCCGTCTCTCTGAACTGAGAAGCCTAGTAGTTGCAAATTTAAACTAATTTCATCGTGAATCTTTGGTCTAAACTTCTATTTAATTCTTTAAGATGTATCTTTTTACTGCAGATTTATATCAGGACTTGATGATGTCACTGTGGAGGATTCAGAAAGCTGCATATTCACCAACAGCAGCTTTTTGTTTGGAGCAGCGTTCTGTCTTTACCTTGGTACTCCTCTGGCATGTTCTTATTGGCTCCAAAGATCTTGATGGTGGGGAATCCTCTGACGCCATACTGGCCCCCCAGTGACTTGTGCTGGTCTGCGTCTACGGCGCCAATCTTCACGATACCCTGCAGGATCACAGAACAAACAGGTTGGCGTGTGCAGTCTGGGTAAAATACAGCGAGCCTGTTAATCATTCCCTCCACGTCACATCTATGTGCTGTTTCACACATAACTCTGGAAGTCAGCGTGTCGGTGAACAAATGCAACAGTTAGTGATGTGTGCAGTATTCATCTCCGCGCACACAATGTTGTTTGGATAAATTATCTGAGAGGTGATAACTATGTGCAGAAAAACACATTCCATGAAATAAACAGTGAATGACATTAAGTTTGTGTCAGATAAAAACAGGACTCAGTAATATGTGACTGCAGTCAGGATCTGCCCACGTCTCACGCCTCTGTCTGCTGTGATTCTCACTGCTGAGTTACAAACTCCTCAAACACTTGTAGGTGGAACAAAGCTGTGAGCTTCCTAATCGCGGTACAGCTTCAGTGTCGTCTTTTGTCTTTGTCTTGTTTGTTTTAGCTGAGTGAAATGAAAAATGAATGACTGTAGTGTACCAGGTTGGTCATTATATCTGCAACCCTGATACCACTGTAAGCATCTGGTGCCTGAGGACACTAATTGGAAGTTTTGAAAGTGTTTTTAAAAGATTTAAAGCCTGTCTGTGTGTGAACACTGAGAGATCAGTGTCTTCATGTGGGAAGTGTCTTGAGGCTAGCATTGCAAATTAAGTCTTTTTTTTTAAATCAGGGTTGTAATTGTTTCTAATGTCTGCAAATTTCTAATTACAGCACATCTTCTTAAGGCTATTGCCTTATTTCCAAAAGCAGTATTCACTAACAATATTCTGATAAGTGAACTTGTCATTTTTGCCTTAATAGAACTAGTTAATGTCAGTCTGTGTCCTGACTGAGGCCTGTGCTGTGAAGCAGGATTTGGGGTTAGCAAGGTAAAGTGTGAGACCACTGACCAATCATATCACTGAAATTTTTTTTTTTTGATCAGGCATCTGACAAATTGGGTCTGGTACGATTATTACCATTATTTCTATCATAACACAGCAGTGACGTGGAAACTAGACTAAACTCAGCCACTGTTAACATTATTTAAGAGTAGATGGTTGAATTTGTTTTGTAAATTTAAATGTTAAATGAGAACTGCGCCCATTTTCAAAGTTCATACATGCTAGCCGACATGAGCCGACAGTGAGTCTGATTTTACACTCTGAACATGAGACACCTGTGTGATAACAACTGGAAATAAAAGCAAGGGAAAAAAATACACACACTGTTAACTGGCCCCTGCTATTGAAAAGGCAACACTTCTGTCAGACATCATCTGTCATTAACTATGCCTTTACTCTTCACCCTGGTAGCACCAGGAGTCCGTCATTACTTGTTAATAATTCAACATAGTGTCTTCATCATCCAACTAAATGGCACAAACTGAACTATACTTCAGTCATCTATATTAATACATATTTTAACCCTTGGTGTACTTTTAAAAGTAGGAAATTATCTCTGTTGTTTCCACAACTTCTTATTCTGTTGTAAGACGACACACTGTTGTTTTACATTCTGATGAATATGACTTTTTCCTGTCCCTAAAACACAACGTTACCACAGGTAACTGGTGTCACCGTTTCATCTCATACCATATTAAGTACTTTATTAATTCACAGCCCCGCCTCCTGCATGTGCATTCATGGCTGGATAGGGAAAGTTGACTGAGCTAGTTGATAACATGGGTCATGATACTGGTTATTCAGAGGGCCAGTGTTAGGGTTAATGAAGCCAGATAAGGAAAAGATATCCTGGGTATGTTTAACTTCTCAGGCCTCTGGTACGTGGCGAGATGACGAGAGATGTTTTGTTTACCTTGAGGGCAGTGGCCGCCTTCTTCCAATCAGGAGTCAGATTTCGACAGTGGCCGCACCTGTGGTGATTAACAAGAGTGGGAAGGGAGGTGAGTAAAAGATCACTTTCATGTTGGTGAAAATGTTTTATAGCTAATGATACAGTTTTACAACAGACACACTTAATGAGTTAGAAATCTGTGCAGATTAAAAAGATAGCTGACAAACAATATTCAAGTTCAGAAACATTTTCATTTCATCAGGAGATGTTCCTGTGGTCATAACACTGAAAATGCATCACAAGTATCTGTCACTCAAATTAATCACAGAACCAAATTATTCAATATTAACACATCCAGTGAATATTTAACACCTTCCATGTGCAGAGACTTAAGGCTCAGATTTGGGCACGTACACCTCCTGGGTACTTGTTCACAGGTACAGTCCTGGTACATCAAGAAAATCATGGCCTCGTCTAGGAATATAATCTGACATGCTATAAGTTGATTAAGACATGTATGTTATATTTACATGACAATATTCTGTCATACTCACAGTGCCACCTAGTGACGACAGGAAATGACATGTTTTAGACTTTAACATGCTCCTCCTGGCAGGTTGACCGTATCCAACTCAAATGTGGTCATAGAGGCCTTAAGATTGTATGTTATATTGTTAAGACGGTGAAATGTCACCAAACGGCGTTGCCATAACGACACGGCCAAATTCGGTGTTTCACCAAAACACAGCAGTTGGCATAAACTGAAGTGTACGTGGTTCAATCTGCCTGAAACTTCACACGCCCCTTAATAGTATAGGCCTGGACATGTTATATAAGTTTTGTCAATGGGCGGGGCAAAATTACTTGGCCATGCCCTTTAAAGTGCAGCCCCCATGGCATGTTTCACTGACATGCACAAAAATTGGCACACACACGTATCACGCCCTGATGCACAAAAAAGCCTCTTGGACCTATTGCCGAAACCCAACAGCAAGTCAGCCATTTTGAATTCCGTGGTCATTTTTGGCGTTTCCCATGTGTTGTATTTTAACAATCTCCTCCTACAGATTTGATCGGATTGGCTTTGAAATTGGTTTGTGCGAGCTTGACTTCAAGCCGATTAAGTTAACTTACAAGTTGATTTAGACATGTATGTAATATTAATACTTGTGTTTTTATAAAGCAAAGATAAAAGGTATATATATTATATATTTCTGACTGGTTTATACTTGTAAGTCATGGATAATCGGTAGTTTATATGATATACTATGACAGGTGTTTGCTAGATAGATATTTGGTAATTAATATTATATACATGAGTTATTTTTGTGTGAAAAAGTTATATGGTAATAACAATGGTATATTTAGAAAAGTTTTGGTAAAAGGTTTATCTACATAAGGAAGCTGTCTGTTTCATTTCACTCAATGACTTATGGAGAAGGGGTGGGATTTAATAAGTTTATACTTCCTCTCGCTTCTTTTCGGATGTGTAAATCAAAGTAACTATAATTGCACAATATTGGACTTATTGCTGATGTCCCATAGGCCAATATTTAACAACTCATTTGACCGATAACCAATAGCAACATCGATGTATGTGCTATTTTGCCTAGCTAATCTTATTGATAATCAAGTCTCTTCTATAGTGGAATTAACAACATATTATGCATGAATTCTCTTATCATGATGGCCCATTAGCAGACGAAGACATGAAATACAATACTTTTCAATGTCTGTAATATTTATTCATTGTGCAAAATCAGAAAAAGCAATTAATTTTAAAGCAGATACTGGTCGATAATGATGGCGTACTGATATTATCGCGCATCCTTACATTAAATAATGAAATGCAACCCATTAAGAAATCATTAAAATTGCATTTAAAATAAAATAAATGATTAAGTTGGACAAAAAATAACTTAATTTGTTGAGTTGGGTTTGTGTAAGCATGCTCTCTGCTTGTATCTATGCTAAAACATATTTAATATAGTAATAAACCTGGTTTCTCATCCTTGTATTCTTGTATCCTGTATCCTCATCCTTGCATCCTGTATCCTCATCCTTGCATCCTGCATCCTCACCCTTGTATCCTGCACTGAAACACCTTGCCTGTGATTTACTTTGCAAACAAACTTGAACAGTGTGATTGCAATCCGACCCAGGCAGGAACCGGTTTTGCATACACGTCCTCTCAAATCATAAAGGTTAATGTGTCTGTGAGGAGGAGCAGCTACACACAGAGGACTCAAACATCACTGAGCTGGTGTGAGATGCTTGTACTGACACTATGGTCCCTTAGGTTGATCTGAGGACACTTGTTGCCACTGAATCACCACCACCAAAGTTACAAGGACTCACCAGGGAGCGTAAAACTCCACCAGCCACAGACTGTCACTCTGGATGACCTCTCTGTTGAAGTTGGAGGGGGTGAGCTCCACCACATCATCACTGGCTGAGTAAAAGGCTTGGACAGACAGCAGCAGGGAGCAGCCCAGCACTCCTGGAGGAGAGGGTACAAAAGGTTTACTCTCAACACTGTGAGCTCAGACATGTTTAAATGAAACACAGCAGCTACAGTAAGCACTGACATTACACTGTAAGACCACTTAAATACAGTTTATAGGCACATTTATGTAACAGGAAGTGAAATAGTCGTTTATTAATTCATTGATTGAACGATAACAGAGGCCTGGCACTATTCTGTGCTCCTTAACTTAGCTAGTCAAGCTAACCACAGCGGCTAACACGCTGTCAAACACAGCCGACATTAACACGGAGATAAACACGATATTTTATTAAAGTAAAAAGCCGCTGTTTTTGTCACTCACCGAGTAAAAGCGGTCCCATGGTTGTAAGCTGGTCTCCGGTCGGCTCCTCTGTTAGCAACACAGTCAGACTGCTGTCGCTGCGGCGCCCACAAAAAGTAGATCGAAAAAGCTCACCGTGGCCCACGCTGATTGGTCCGCTGGTGGCGACGCTGCGGCTCAGCCAATCAGCGCGCGCCGTGTAGTTTAGAGACCCAGCATGCTGAAGACAAGTGGAGGAGGAGAAGGCAGCATCAGGAGGAGACACATGTAACAAGGATGTGCCTGTGGAACACTGTGTCATGTTTATATACAGGAGACTGTGAAGTTATGATGTCACTGTGTCATACTACAGATTTATGTCTTTTATTACATTTAATTTAACCTTTATTCAACCAAGTTTGTCCCACTGAAATCAAAGCAGACTGCTAAAAGCTACTGTTGTGTTATAACTATCAGTGGCAGTTGTGGAAGAAGTATTTAGACACTTTACTCAGGTTAAATCAGCTCATTTATATCAGAAGTATTAAATAAATAGCCAGATAGATTAAAAAAAACACAATCCAAGTATATTACCCATAGAATATATGTTAAGTATCTAAAGTAAAGGAATATTATTACTGATGCAATGATGTGTAACTGTTATCTTAATGTGTAGCCCAGTAAAGAGGAGCTACTTAACAAATGTATACACTTTTCGATGTAACAATGTCTTATATTAGTACATTATTACATTGGTACAGAACATATTTAACCTGGTTTGTCCCATTGAGATCAAAGAAGGCGACGAAAAGTTGTGTTATCATTTTCAGTGGTAGTGGTGTAAGACGTGCTGAGACCCTTTACTTAAGATAAAGCAGCAACAACACAGTATAAAAGTACTCCGTCAAATGTAAACGCTATTATTATTATTATTATGCTTTTATTGTGTGGAACACTTTGTGTTACTTTTTAAATAAAGTCTGATTGATTTAAGTGCTTTTAAAAATGTACATCAAAAGTATGAGATAGATATCTAGACAGACAGATAAAAAAAACAAAATCCATACGACATGAAATAAATCATCACACATAAGAGTAGAGACTAAATGTAGGACATGCAGACTGAAGGCAGGCAGGAAGTGTTAGCACTGAAACTAAAGCAGGCTGTCATATAGTGAAAGTAACCCTTGTCAGTGTGGACTGGACTATCATTACTGATGCAATAATGCGTAACCACTATTTTACTGTTATAGCTGATTAAAGAGGAGCTAACTGACATATTTATACAGCACATAATTGTAGTACAGTAAAATGTCTAATATTCACCTTTAGAATGTAGCAGAGTAGAAATATAAGTATTGTACAATAAAAAGTGCCTCAAACTTGTACTTGAGCTTTAAAATTAATGTAATCACAAACTGCTACTGGTAACTTTTACATGTGCAGTACTGCAAAATGTAAATGTCCTTAGAAGAAGACTTACTTCCCTTTCATCTCAAATTTGTCAGTTTTTTTTGTAATTCTTTAATGACTTATTTTTACTTCTTCTTCTTTTTGACTTCTTCTTTTGATCCAATAAAGATATCCCAACTTGATGTTCTTCCACTGTAGCCTTGTACAATCCAATAACAAACATTTTGGCTCAACACCAACAACAACAAAATTAAGCCGACAGTTTGCATCAATCTTTTTGAGTTATGACAACTTCTGATTAAATCAAGTTCAACAAATTAATGACGTAAAGAATAGAGAATTATACGAAGCAACAACAAGAGTATGAAGTAGAAGTTTGTAAATATAAAGCAATAAATTAAAATAAAAATGAAATAACAGAATGTGCATTATGCTACAGTGTTTAACACTAGTACTTAAGATATAAAAATATTAAAAATAAAATATATATCGTCACTGTGCTGAGGCTGTTAGTGTGACATTTGTCTACAATTTATTAAACAAGAATAGAATAAGATTAAACATAAGAACTAGTTATGCGCATGATAAAGTCGTATACTGAAAAATATTGCACAGTTGAATAATTGCTTTATCTCTACAAACAAAGGTTTTTATTAGCACTAACTTAATAACTGGTAGTATAAACACAAGTTTTTAGGCTGATCACTCATAAAAATCAAGTTGTTCCAACTAGTTTTTCAACATTGTTTAAATAGGATTATAAAAAACAAGTTTTTAAGTTGGCAGCATTTAAAACAATTAAGTTGCTTCAATTAGATTTTCTTCAGTACTTTTTCAAAGTTTTTTTTATGTTTTTGTTCATGTGAAAATTAAGACACTAACACTTGGCCAAAGCTTGACTTGATGCCACTGAATTGCAGGTTTTACTCCAGTGTAGTCCAGCAAGTCTGGACTTTATTGTACCGTGCTTTGGCTTTTCAAAATCACTTATTAATGGATCCCTATCCTCAGTGGTTTGCCCCATGGTTTGCAAGCAGGAAAATAGAAGCAGGCTACTGTAATATGAAGAAGTCGCCACTAGGTGGAGACAAACAACAAGGGAAAGCACTGTTCGGGTATTCAATGATCTGCCTGTCAATCAATGATTCAATAATTCAGTGTGCTGATGCAGAACTGCTCAGCTCAACTCACAATTCAAAGTGTCACAAATCTTACTCTGCAGATTTATATTTGAAAGTAGCTTAAAAACAACACTAAACTCCTGTAATTGATCCACTAATGGCACAAGTCCGTGTTACACCGGCCCCTCATTATCACCTGACATCAGTAAAGAGACATTTAATGCAGGTTTTATTACATCATAATATTTATAGAGCCCATGCTCTCTCAGATTAAGTGATTATTACTTTGCCCGAGTCTTTATCGTCTGCATTATTCGGTAATAGCCTTTAATACATTCAAAATGGATGATGGATAATGCGTCTAGCTCTGTGGGAAATATATTTTACAGCCTATTGTAGTAAAAGATAATAAAAGGATGAGTTTGGTGTCTCGTGCGCTGCCTGTTAATCAGTTACCTTTAACTAATTGTTGCTCTGCGAACTGCCGTCAAACCCCAGCGGAGTGTGAGTCCCTGATTTCCCTGTTTGCCACTTCACAATTCATTACATGCAGCGGAGATTTATGATGTGCTGCGCCTGGCTGCACTGCGCTGCGTCAAAGCAACGGCACACACAGAGCGCGTGACCGGAAACCACGGAGGCAGCCTTAAAAATAAAAGCATAAGGTGTGCTAAATCATAAAACAGTTGATTTACAGGATCTTAAATATTTTTATTTTTCATTTTTATTTTCTCCGTTTGTTTATTGTTATTGTTTTCCTCCTTTAGATATTTTGAGTGATATAATTTTAATCTTCGGGCAATATTGTTGATAATTTTACCACTATTGAATGATTGATATAATTTCTTTCATTGATATTAATGAATTAATTATGATATCTAAATAATTATTTGGTTCTACTGAGAGATACATATAATGGTTTTGAAACAATTTTTTAAAAAAAAACATCAAAATTTTAACAATAGAAATACATTTTAAACATGTTTTAAAAATAATAATAATAATGATAGCACATAGGCTACATTTTTGTTTTCCTGCTAATTTAAAAAAAAATACAATAAAAACATAAAATACAATTAATATTAATCATGTATATATTTAATTTTTAATCATATCACCACATGTGACGTTTTGGGCACCAGCCCTTCATCAGACATGAACAAGATGAGGAGACACACCTCGCTCAACAGGTCATGTGATACCACATGTAGCTATATACAAAATTACACCACAGGAATACAATACATATACAAAAATAATTACATTTACAAAAACTACATTAAAAAAAATACATTTACAAAAAAATTACAATTACAAAAACTACATTTAAAAAAATTACAAAAAATACATTTGTAAAAACGATATTTATAAAAAATATATTTACAAAAAGGCCAGCAGTCCTTAGAGTATTACCTCGAATATCTCATGACTGAAACATCGGGTAAAAAAAAGTCATAATGACATGCAAATATGAGGTGAAAATGTAGAAGAAGATATTTTTATAATTCAAATTTTATTTTAAAAATGGAAACGTTTGAGTCATCTGGAGCCACGAAACCATTTTTAAAGACTTGGCTCATATTCCATTAGGGGGTGTTTGGTGGTGTTGTAACATACATAAATAAATATATATTTGAAAAATTTGTCTGTGAGGATTTTTGTTTGAAAGGGTCTACCGGAAGTCTTGTGGTTTGATTGTGGCTCACTTGACATTACGCGCACTTGAATGCCAACTTTCTCAGAGCGCACAGGCGTACTGTTACACGGCTGTGTTGATCGGAGGAGACTTCACGTTGCAGTCACCTCTGAGCAAACACTATATTTTCTCCTATCACCCAGAGATTAGATGGTTTAGGCGGTTTTACGCAGAGCGCACGAGCCTCTGGTGACTTGTGTTGACTTTGACGGCACAGTTGTGTGAAAATCTCGGGCTGTTTTTGCGGCGGACTTGTTGTCACCATAATGTGGGGGATCCAGAGGACGCGGTACGCAGACTGCAACGGCTCTGAAGCCAGCGAGGAGACGGAGATTGTTGTCAACATCGGCGGGGTGAAACAGGTGTTGTATGGGGACGTGTTGAATCGCTACCCGGACACCCGGCTGGCAGAGCTGGTGGACTGTTCACTCAAGTCTGCTGAGGAAATATCCTCACTGTGTGACGACTACGACCCTGACACAGGAGAATTTTATTTTGACAGAGACCCCGAAGCATTTAAGTGTATAATAGAGCTGTATTATTATGGAGAGATCCACATGAAACGAGGCATCTGTCCCATTTGTTTCATGAAGGAGATGGAGTTCTGGAAGATCGACTCTGATTTCCTGGACGACTGCTGTAAATGCCACCTGAAGGAGGTGGAGGATGAACTTGCAGAGATCGCAGAGAAAGTGAGGACTATCCTGGTGGACCGGGAGGGAGACCCGTCTGCAGCAGGCTGGCAGCGCTTCCAGATGTGTCTGTGGAGGCTGATGGAGAAGCCGGAGTCCTCGCTGCCTGCGCACATAATCGCTATAGTTTCTTTCATCTTCATCCTCGTCTCCTCCGTGGTGATGTGCGTGGGGACCATCCCCGACCTGCAGGTGGAGGACGCGGAGGGTAACCTCACGGAGAACCCAACTCTGGAGGTCATCGAGACCGTGTGCATCGGCTGGTTCACTATTGAGTACATCCTGCGTCTGATCTCCTCCCCGAATAAAATCAAATTCATGCTGGCTTTCATGAACATCATCGACTTCATGGCGATCATCCCCTTCTATGTGGTGCTCATTCTGACCTCCTTCGGCACAGGAGTGATGGAGCTGGCTAACGTGCAGCAGGCGGTGCAGGCTTTACGCATAATGCGCATTGCGCGCATTTTCAAGCTGGCACGACATTCCTCCGGACTCCAGACCCTCACATCTGCCCTGAAGAGCAGCTTCAAAGAGCTGGGACTGCTCCTCATGTACATGGGCGTCGGGGTCTTCCTGTTCTCCGCACTGGGCTACACCATGGAGCAGAACCACCCGGAGACCTTGTTCACCAGCATCCCGCAGTCCTTCTGGTGGGCTGTCATCACCATGACCACGGTGGGCTATGGAGACGTCTACCCCAAGACCACTTTGGGTCGCTGTAACGCGGCCATCAGCTTCCTGTGCGGGGTGATCGCCATAGCGCTGCCTATACACCCCATCATCAACAATTTCGTCTTGTTCTACAACAAGCAACAGGTGCTGGAGACCGCTGCCAAGCATGAGATCGAGCTGATGGCGCTGCGCTCCGGCGACGGCGAGCTGAAGGCCGCGCCCGGCGCCCATAAACACGTTTGCGGCGCAGGGGTGTGGGACAACGCCATGCGCTCCTGTCAAAGCGACACATACATCCCCTTACTGAAGGACCCCAGGGGGGCAGCGGGGATCCAGACCCCCAGCATGGACACAAGCTTTGAAAGCACAGCCGAGGCCACTGATTACTTCATCTCCTAAACACTGAAGATCATCTGAAAACAACGAGATCAAGAACAAAACATCAAATTAATCATTAATTTCTGACTGATCCAAACTCAACCTGCACAATCCGGGGTTAATGACACCACAGTGATTGGAGACGTGATTGTAAATAGCCTCGTAGAGATAACAGGACCGCAGCAAACCTCTCCAAGGACCGTTAATGCATTTGAGGGATCGCGGCTATTAAAGGGACATATGTGTGAGATATTGACTTGATGAGCTGTGCCTTTGCGCAGTGACTCCCTGGAGGGCCGAGGGCTTGTGTTTGAACACCGATTCCCCCCATGTAGGCTCCTTATATAACTCCCCCATCCCCAGTACTCACACTCATACTGTAGACTGCATTGTAGCGTACTCCTCTGTACAGATATATATCACAATTAATGTGTTTTTTAATAATAATAAAGATTGGCAGCTCCTCCAGGAGAAAAGAGGACTGTAGTCATCACTGAAGGGTGTGCAGGCATCACAAGAAAAGCTGCAGATATTTAACACTGATAGAGACTTATAATGCCAGAAATTTCAGAGATCACTATAAGGACACGTTAAAGGTGCACCAGAGGACAGAGATGGTAGAAAATATAAAAACAACTTATCATCAGAGCAGTTTATTTCTGTTTCTAATCTTTAAATGAGACTGTGTGATCGTGAGCTAATATGTCTACTGAAAGCAGTGTCTGTGTCAGTGGGCTGCAGTTTCAGACAGGATCATGTAATCAACACCGGGACCTCAGAAGGCTGCAGGACATGCTCCTGTAATGGGTTTAAACTTTGCAGCAGCCGTCACCACTCTGCTCCCCCCCGGAGGAATAACTTGACCACCAAGTTATGGGCGAGGGGAAGGAGCAACAGGCTGGAGGCTGAATAAAAATAATCCAGTTGTTGAATTATTAAAGGGAGAGTTATGATTGTATTTTATTTATTTATTTATTTATTTATTTGAGTGGGGTAGTTTTCCAAAGTTAGTGTGTTAAGCCCCCTTTCCATGAGCAGTACGGTACACTTCAGTTATTTTTCCTGTTTCCACTGTGAAAAGTTGTGGATGGTACCAATGGAACCGTTCCCTATTGTCCCCCTAGCACACAGATCTGGTACTAAAAGGTGGAGCTGTGAACTCTGCAGTCTGTTGATTGGTCAATAGAAGACAGTCACTCTGCTCAGGGCTGAGTTGTGTCTGGTTTTGAGGCTCATGTAACCACTGTTCATACCGTGGAGAGCTTTATTAGTAAACTGTAACTATAAAATGAAAGGCTGTTTTGCTGCCTCTTGCACTGGCCCAACTGCCAGCGACTTTCAAGGTGGAACGTTAACTTGTAATGTCACTCAATGCATGAGCTGACGATGTGAATCAATCAGCACACCTTAAATTTCACTGTGACAACTTTGACCATTACTTTAGTTTTTACTGTCTCTCTTGGATGACACAAACTTTTAGTAATGAGTGGATCTTCAAGCGTTTAAAAATATTTATTAGTTTTGACCAGATTATGTGAACTGCATATATTCTAATCCTCACTTGCAGAAAAAAAAGCATCGTGGAGCATCATTCCTAAACCCCTGAGAGAGGCTCTCACTGCAGCCTGATCTATTATGTTCTGAAAATGTTGGCGTGCAGCCTCGTTCTGTGGACGATAAACGAGATGCAGACTGATAAAGGAGGAAATACAGTGAGAGCTGGACGGAGCAGTGAGTGACAACAAACCCGCCCACATTTAAGAGTACTGTTTGCGGTGGAAACATTAGGGTCTGGATACCATGTCTGAAGGGTTACTTTTGGTTCCAAAGGTACCATACTGAAAGTGTTTGGTGGAAACGGGGCTTTACATACAGTAGATGTCAGTCAACACATCCCCAGTTTGGAGAAGTGGCAGGATTACAGACACAGAAGCTAAACAATGTACTGCTGTGGACAGGGGTCAGCAGCAAAACATATTTCAGCCTCCTAAAAAAGTCCAACCTAAAACAGTCTATAACATTTTAAAAGTAGGTGACACTGAAAGTTTTTTTTCTTTGCATCAGACAGCCCATTGTGATGGGAAGCCGTTCCTGTATGCTGTCATCGAAGCCACCAAATCCCACTGAAAAAAAAAAAAAATGCAATTTTGGCTTGCTGATCAGTTAGTTAGTTTTTGTTGTGATTTCAACCCTGTGTCACTCCGTAGTCCTCAAAAACCGGTGCTTAGTCAGTGACTTCCGGCGTCAGGCACGTACGTAAAAAGTCATTCTTTCATGTCGCCATAAAATGCAGCTGGGCGGGGTCAGGGGGAAATGCAGCGGGACAACAACAAAAGTTAAGGCGGCGAAAGTCCGATTAGGGCGGGCAGGACGGATGGAGGATGCATCCAACAACCGTAGACTTATTTTGAAAGACACTGCGTGTAAACGTTAAATTTCCTGTGAAAACAGAAGTGTATTTTGAAAGAAGACAGCACATGTAACAGGCAGAACTTGACACAGCACCCCAGACTGTTAACAACCAACGCATCCAGGGTACCTTGGTCATGGATAGTCCATGACCGAATGTTAATATGTGACGCTGTCAGAGTGAGAATGTGTTAGGGACTTACACTTTTAAACACCAAAGTCACATAATAACACAAACAAACAAACTGGTCGAGGCAGCGGTAGACCAGCAAGTCTGTGTCCAGCGATATTAAATAATACATTTTCTTAATGGAGTCTGGCTTTGAAGAGAGCAATATAATGGTTTCATTTCCCCATCGGAAATGGCTGTCTACAGTTAGGTATAAAGCAGTAAAAATAATCTAAATACAGCGCACACTTAAACTGATATTGATTTTTTTAGGAAGGACTTTATTTAGGTGGCTAAAATATGCAATATACTGCAGTACATTGTGTGGCTGTACTCCTGTCTGCTTCTCCAAACTGAGGGTATGCTGATGGTGGATAAATCCCTTAAACAATCCCACTTAAAAAAGATGCAATCTTTCCCTTTAAACTTTAAAATCCCAGTGTGCAGCTATCTAACCTGCACATCTGAGTAAAAGAGATGGATTTCTGATGGAAATATAAATAAATAATATCAATAAGGACTTTTTTAATTAATTCAAAAGCACATGCATTATCAGGGCAGCATAAATAGAAGATGTAAGAGTATCACTAGAGAGTCTCTGCCTGTAAAATCTGTCTTAATGCATCACTGCTCTTATTTTGATGAACTCGAAAGGACGATGCGTTTTCACACTGTCCCGCGTTTTGAAGAAGGGACTCTAAATTGGCTTAATGGGAGCTGTATTTAAAGGTTAAATTTTCACAGTTTGAAAGGTCTCCACTCCTACACCATTAGTCTGAGTGACATGAAACTTGCTGCACAAATAGAGCAGTCTTTAGAAACTACTTCAGCCGGCGCAGTGGGGGAGTTATAATTAAAATTTGACATATTTAATTCAAACCTCACATCTCAGATGTCAGTGGTTTGATTCTGCTGCAGCCTGAAGGGATGATTTATGTCAGGACCATGTTCCTGTGCCCAGTCTGATTTTATGAAATGAGCATCTTGAATGTAAATATGTGGTTTGCGCATTTGGTGTTTCCAACGAACTTTGGGCAAATGAAGGAGAAGAGGAGGAGGGCATTATCAGCAGCAGGTAGCCTGGCAGTGGGACGATGCAGAAGAAGGTTTGGGTGGTTGATGGGTGGATATATTTGCCCTCAACTCTGATGTGGGTTCAACTTTCAGCTGGAGGGAAGATAACATTTAAGATTTCCCAGTTACCTTCGCCAAACTGTGCATCACTGGTTCCCAGCCTGTTTTTAAAAAATGTGATATTCATCCACAGCCTCAATGACTCAACTTCAGCAACTCAACATGTTCCAAATTTAAATCATTTTCAAACCAGTTGTCATTAAATCTTATTGATTTTTTTAAAAGATGATATTGTGACATTATCGTTTTGGTTTCAGTTTTGGTCTCTGGGCAAGTTTCCAGTCATATTTGGACATTTCAACTATTTATCCATTGCATTCAGCCAACTATTTTATCTATCAGCAGCTCAGCATTTAATAGCTTGCAAAATAGTTGAAATAGTTAGAGAAAATTAGCTAAAAGTAATAATGGATAAATGGCTGACATAGGAAAGTAATAATTTCAGCAAGCAGTTTCAGTTTTTTAATTGGCTGAAATACTCAACTTTCTTTCCATATGGTCCCCTGAACCTTGACCCAAGCCCTCAGGAAGTGCACCGGGCTTTAAAGCCAAATTAACATAGTTAGTCAAACCATGGAGTTACAACCTCTGGGTCTGTCACGTGATGCTATGGGGCCCAGAAGATGGCCGTGTCTATATGGTAACCCCAGATTCGCGGAACCACCCATGAGCCACTTCAAATTATTCTTGTCTCATTGTTTCATGGTGTGACACTGCTGTGGGTAAAAATATAGTACACAGGGTTTGACTTCATGCAGAAGTAACTCCTCTCAATGATCACTTATGACCCACTAGAACTGTGTGACAGTGAATGTTTCTGCAGAGACTCTGCCCTCTGCCTGGATATTCCTATTTTCATCTTATTTTCTGTGATCTGGTCGTTTATAGACATGTAGCCCGCAGCGCTTAGGTGAGGTCGAGCCTAGAAAGGTAGCAATCAGGGGCCACACAGTTAAAAACGCAAAAATAGTGAGGCGAATGCCAAATGATCATAAATCTGGGGTTGGCTTCACTTAAACGTTTACTGACGAGAGTTTTTAAAAAACTGTTGCCGACAATCTTGCACAGTATATCTTAAGTAGGGATCTGACACATCTTCACTGACAAAATTTCAAAACTTTTCCATGACTTTCAAGGACCCATTAAAGAAAAAAAATGGGACCATTCACGACATTTAAATCGCCTTCACCCCTGCGAAGGTGTGAATTAATTCATTGTTTCAGGGCTCTATTTCCTTTGGTTTTAAAGACCGTTTCGAGAGCTTGTTTACATCACGAAACACATTATTTTAGCAGGATTTTAACTTACGCAAGGTTTGTTTTAGTCTGCAGTGACAGTGTTGCTATTTTACACCATGATTCCATCACTGCAGCTCAAAATAACATGAGACACCTGCAATGAAAACTTGGGGAAAAAGATCAAATTGCATTAGTAAAATAATCCACACACTGTTAATTGGCTCCTGTTATTATAAATGCAACATTTCAGTCAGGTAGACTCATTAGTCATTAACGAGGCTACTTTCCCATCCTTAAAGGGACATTGTGTAACATTTTCAGTTGTTTATTGGCAAAAATTGATGTCTGCATTCATAAATATGTCATCATTGATGTATTATTACTTCCATCAATAATCTGATTTATTCTCGTAAAAGGACAATTTCGAATTTGTTTGTACATTGTGCAGGTAAGTCATTTAGGGGGTTCCATAACGTTTCGCCATCTTGAAAATACATCTGCCAGCAAGGGACATACAG